TTCGGACAGGGCAGCCCTCGGGTGTTGGGTCAGGCGAAGGAAGGTCCTGGCGTTGAGGTTCAAGTAAAACCGCCCGAAAGGGTGTAAGAGCTCTCCTGGAGAGAAGCCTACGGGCTGCGCGTGGGTTTGGGTCTTTGCGAGGCTGCATGCAGCCGGCAGTGTTAGGCCAGTGGGTAACGGGAGCAGGCTGACGTTACACTCTTGTGCAAGGTGCTTTAGAACGCCACAAACAGACAGCTACATTTAGGTTTTCAGGTGTATAAGAATATTATTTTAGCCAGTGATAGCAAAAAGAAAAGTTCAACACATCACAACGTAGTTTCTTGCATCTTTTGGAGCTTCTTGTTCTAGGTACTGTTGGCTGGGATGTGCTAGGCTGTATGGAGTACTGGGTGTGTCCGCGCCCAGTTTTTATGGAATTACCTGTCTGAATATTGCAGGGACAGTTCAGTATGGAGCAACAGTTGTAGGTGGAAAAAATATAATAAACACCTGAATTGGAAATATGATGAAAAATACACATTTCTGACTTCACCTAAAGTTTCTTTCTACTTTGTTTCAAATAGACCAAGTATTGAGAAAGTTTTAGGAAAAATCTCTGTGTGGCTGCCTATGTATAAACTAGGGAGAAGCAGGGCATCTTCTCAGCTGATTACTCTGGAGGATGGAAAAATGTTTCTGCTTTGGTAGCATTGGTTCACTAGTAATCACACAGTGTGTTTTTCCATCTTTTAAGAGGCTCTTGTCTGTAGTTATGGACAGCATGCTGTATTGCAGAAATCATTAGCTCTGTTTGGCCCATAAATTTTTATATTTATATGCTATTAGGTTGTAATCTTACCAGATGTTAAAGATAAATAATTAATAAATTTAGTCATTTTTCTCCCTTAAACATCTTTACGCATAGCATATAAATAGCTTATCCTTATGTGAGGATTGTAACTTATCCTGAAGCTTTCAGTCAAGGGGTTATAGTTTCGTAGCTTTGTTTGTCTAGGTTTGTATTTAGTTCATCGTGAATTACTTAATAATGATTGTTTTCAAAGTATGTTTGCTTTGTCCTTTCAGCTTTTGTGCTGGACTGTACAAACATGGGTTTTCTTCTTAATTGTAACCAAGCTTTTTTTTTAAAGTTACTTCTTACTCATGACTTGGTATTTCTGTGATAATAAAATGTCTTCCACTTAATCTGCTAAAATTAAGACAACAAAATTTATGAAGACTAATAAGTATTAATATTAAACAGTATTTTAGGGACCTCGAGGGCCACAGATGTGTACAAAGAGCACATTGAAAGAATATTCTGGACTTGTGATTGAATAGACTTCATAATAAACCACCTCATTTGTTTATTTGTTCCTGTGCTAAACGTGTGTGTGTGTGTATTTAAGCGTAGTTACTTGTAGGGGCTGAAAGTGCTTTTGAGGGTTGGTTTGTCAGGTGTCTTGCTTCTCTTCAGATACAAAGCAGCATGTGTATCTTTTAGTTAAAACTTAAATGTTAACCTGTTAGTTTTCTACATCCTGTCAGCTGGGAAACACTGCAGAAATTGCTTAAACCAGACATCACCTTGTTATGCTTGCAGGATTTTCATTGGTTGGGCGCTGTACCTTACGCTTAGTTAGGAAAGCACAACTTGTTGGTTGTTATGATATACTTTGTTTTATCTGAATTAACATGGCTTCTCATCATGTTTTCAAAGACATTTAAGTTGTGCTTCACCTTAGTGTCTTAGTATTTAATGTTCCTACTATGCTGTTGGAAGCCTGTCTTGCACATAAGTCAGGTTTCTTCATTTTGAAGTAGCTAGCTTCCTTCAGTACATACTTCCAAGTTCTCTTTAGAAAGTTTTTTCCTTGAAATTTGTCAGATTACCATGACTGCACCAAATAAAGCACTAGAACTACAGCTGCAAATCAAGCAAAATGCTGAAGAACTGCAGGATTTTATGAGAGAATTGGAGAGCTGGGAAAAAGACATTAAAGAAGTGGATTCTGAACTAAGGAAACAGAGTGGTGACCCAGAAGAGGTAATAATCAGAAGTTCAATGTCAATATTAACTCAGCTATTCATAATGTATATAGTGTTTATTTTAATTACTTTTTGCTTCAGCAAAATCACATGTGTTGATTTAAAATACCTGAATAGATGATATGAGCTAACCCAGCTGACTTGCTCCTCATCTGAAATAGACCAAGGATTTCTCTATAAACTGTTCCACCAACAGAGCTATGGGGCAGTAGCCTCTGGAGGTGATGGGGTCAGTAAATTTTTAGTCAGTTCCAGGTAGATCTATTTCTGTTTGCAGCATCAGTATTACTTACTTGCTTACTGCTCACTCTTAATGTACTGATGGTATTCTTCAATGATACTGTGCAGAGAGTTGTCTTCTAAAACTTAGCTTTGTATCACACATGTAATATTTGCTGTTACTAGATATTGAAAGATTTGTACTTGCTGTGCTTACTGGTGCTGTAGAGTTCCTGAAGACAGCTTACTGGATGGATTTCTAAAACAAAACCAGCTAGTAGATTGATACTGTATCTAGATAGAGGTACTATAGGTTCTTCAGTACAAGTGACTTTCACACATCTATTTTATAGTAAATTACTTGTTTCAATTTAGAATTTGCCACCAATTCGAAACAAGGCTTTTAAGAAGAAGAAAAGCAAAAGTAAAGTCCCTTCAAAGATAACCACTGAGGAAAACAAGAAAAACAAGATCAAGTCTTACGATTATGAAGCATGGGGAAAACTTGATGTGGTGAGTCAGAATATTTGCTGGTTAACTGAGTCTTGTCACCAGTTGATTCTGTTTTAAATAAGATTTTGTTATAGTGCTGAGAGTACAGTCCACAAGTCAGTATCTCACTGTGCAAGGTACTGTACGAACATAGAAGGTAGCTTTTTTCTGAAAAGGATATGTGTTTAAAATCTGGAGTATTGAGAAATACTTCAGTTTTCTTTTGTCTGTGCTCTCATCCAACAGATTGAATTTGACTTTAAGGGGGGAAAAAAAAAATTAACTGTAGGTCTATTATAAGGTAGTAATTCTGGTAGAATATAAGACTAAACACAGCTGCAAGTGTTAGAGAGTAGATATCTCACTTTTGAAGTGTGGAATACTCATTAGCAAAGAGGACTTAAGTAGTAGAGATTTTTAAAAACACACTACTAATTACCCTAAATTCTTACTTGTATTATTTGCATTGTTAAATTGTAATGAAGGAAATCGTTTATTTTGTCCGATTTCAGGATAAAATACTGGAAGAACTTGATAAAGAAGATAGTACTCATGATTCTGTGTCTCCAGAATCAGACTCTGAAGAAGATGGAATTCGTGTAGATGCAGAAAAGGCTCTTGCAGAGAAGGAAAAGGTTGTGGCATTATAAATGTTTGTTACTTGCAAAGTAGCAATTTGGACATAGGAGCCTTTGCAGTTTCTTTTAAAGGATGGCCCACTGAGATGGAGCTTCTGCTGGAAGAATTGCCTGTTTGGAATTTTTTTATGTCTCTTTTCCTGCCCATTATTCCAAAATAGAAAATTCTTACTGCATTTCTGTTTCTTCTCATCACTGATTGCAGCAAGGCCTGCCAGACTGTGCTTAATGTATGCTTATGATTAATGTATTGATGGGTTTTTGCTTTGAGAAGTTGCATTGCTGTGTAGAGTTGCCATACGGATCAAACTGGTGTTTACCTGAACACAAGGTCTGAATGCCCCAAATTAAATCTCCAAGAAGTTAAGATTAGTCCCTGCACGGCCAGTATGTCTGGAAATGATGGGTGAACTTGTATGTCTTCCTTGCCTTACTAATGGCAAGTTTGTACCAGTTCAATATTATTCTATTTTGCAAGTAGAATACAGCAAGACCTATCTCGTGCTTCATTGCCATGTGAGAGAGATAGGCTAAGCTGTATAGCAAATTCTGTGGTTCTGAGAAGTTTCTTTGTTTACAAGCAGTTGCCTAACACCATCTGTCAGTCCATACCTTTCTTCAGTAGCATTTCTTAGTTTGTTTTTTTAAATTATTGGCTGCATGGGTGACATCTGTGTTCTTTCCCTGCTGCTGTGGAAATTCCTTGATGTATAATCTGCTGTCTACACTGAGAAATTGAGATGTCTTTGACCATTATCACCTTGGTTGCAGTGAAGGTGTTGAGGACACACGAAATAAAAGTTGTGTCCCAAAGGAGGCGGAAACAAGAATATTTACCTTGGAAAGCAAAGATGCCAAATCTAGTTACTAAGAACTCAAAAAACTTTCAGTAATTCTCTATGGCAGTTTAAGCAACTATGTATGTGCTTGTTATCACTCTCTGGAAATGACCTACAGATATTGAAAATCAATATATAATAAAACCATGTTATAGCATAAATCATGAGAAATACTCAGTATAGGATACTTATAGTATTTTTAGTTAAAAGTTTCACTTTTAATTAATATTGTGGTTAAAAGCAAAGCAGTACGTTGCAAGCAACGTTAAAAATTGTTTGAGCATTCTAAAATACAAGTTTTGATTTTTTTCACCAAAAATTAGCGATTTGTCAGTCAATGTACAGTAATTTGCTAAAAAAAAACTTTTTTCTATTCGCAGGGTAATAACTACTTTAAACAAGGGAACTTTGATGAAGCTATAAAATGCTACACTAGAGGGATGCATTCTGATCCATACAATCCAGTATTGCCCACAAACAGAGCATCAGCCTTTTATAGAATGAAAAAGTAAGACTTGTATTGTTAAATCGATAATATTCTCTGAGATGCTACCTTCAAGATTTTTGTCTGGTTTTAAGTCTTGATTATATTATTTTTCATGCTGTGATACAGACTAGGTAAGACTGCTGTTGCAACCTGCTTTGCAGTTTCAAAGTAAAATAGGAATCGCCAGGATAAGGTATCTGGTAGTCTCATGCTTTTTTGTCTGCTTTCATGCTAGCAGTCCACCAACTTCTGTGCTACAGTGTTAAGACTTCAAAAAAAGAAAAGAGAAAGTTCACTGTCTAATTTGCCTTTCAGATTCAGTGAGCTCTATTTCTAAGGCTTTGATTTGTTTGGGGGAAGAAAGGGTACAGGGGAGTTGGTTATTCTTTCTGTTGCAGTAGGGGTTTTTGACCTCTGTTTTTCTTTCCTGTTTTGATGTATTCTGAATCAAGAGATGTTTAAATACTTGTTCTTTGCCCCTTCTGAAGCATGTAAGATTTCCACTTTGGAGAGAACCTGGAAAGCTTCAGAGTAAGCTACATCACCGAAGTTTTGAGTTTTGTTACCTGATGTGTCCAAACTCACTCATTCATATTTTGATAGGTTTTCTGTTGCGGAATCTGACTGCAATTTAGCACTTGCTTTAGATAAAAATTACACAAAGGCTTATGCCAGAAGAGGGGCTGCTCGCTTTGCTTTGAAAAATCTTCAAGGTGCTAAAGAAGGTGGGTCTTTTTAAAATTCTTTCCTTAAAATACATACAAACTGTTCATCTCTCTGCCTGATTAAAGCTTGTGTGATTTGCTTATTTCGTGTCGGAATATAATTCTCATTTCCTGTAAACAAAGAAATGGAATACAATATTGCGTATTCTTCTGGCAAGGTAAAATTCAACCAGTGAGTCCAAATGATTGCTGTAGGTGTTAGTAGTTCTAAAATAATTCAGCTTTAAATGTCTTAGAATAATGTATTCCTTGCAATATCTCAGTCTTCTTAGGTAACTACAAAAAAGGGTTATCTCAAAAGAAAACTCTTATTTTATACTCTGCTTACTAGCCTGTAGCTCCAACCTGAAGCATTGTTTTCTGATCTTCTGATAGATTATGAGAAAGTTTTAGAGCTGGATGCAAACAACTTCGAAGCAAAAAGTGAACTGAAGAAAATTGATCAGGTAATAAGATTAATAGGCCATAACTCATTAATACATGCTGTTAGGTTTGTATCTGTATCAATTTATATTTATAACAAGAACTGAATTTAACAAAATCTCGTGTTTTTTCTGGCATTTGAAGTTCACTGAGGTCAAAATCTGTAATTGAGTTTCTTCTAGATTAACTAGCATGTATGCAAATGTCAGTGTAATAGTGGATTGGCAGACTAAGACTGGATGTGTGCACCAACATCTGTGGGTTTCTTCTGAAAAGTCTTCCCTCGGATGGTTTTTCTACCTCCTGTGTTAGTGTCTTTCTCATTCATGCTTAGTTTTCTAGTACAAGGTAGCGCTACTTAGGAGAGAACCTGTGTGTTCTCTTGCCCGTAAAGCTGAACTGTGAGCCTGCTCGTGGTCCCACAGGTTGCTGTCGTCTGCCAAACAAGGAAGTGGGTTTAAGCCCAGCAGACTGTCATACCCTACTGCAAGTCTGATCCCTGTCATGACAGGGAGAAGGTGTTGATTATGGTGACCTTAGTCAATGTAAGATCAGCTGTCATTACTGTGTGAGTAAGCTTATAACTCTTCAACTGTAGTTTTGAAAGTGCTTGAAAAATTTATTTTCAGAATGAAGACCCAAAGTCTCCAGTAATTGAAGAAATAAATGATTTGTGAATTGGAATACGTATAGACAGGTTTCATGGGTCACTTTACATTGTGCTTCAGAAATTACATACTTTTTATTTACCAAGTAATCTCCTGACTCACACTCCCTCATAGAAATACATTTTCAAGGACAGTTTAGAATGATCTCTTCAATTTGCATTCAACTTACAACACAGGCACTTCTGTTAAAGTGCTTGGCAGATTTCTGCATCTTAAAACTTTAGAATTTATTGTAATTTATGCTCTGAAAATGTGTAAGTGGGGAAAATACTTACTGAGGAAAAAACTACATCTTTGCAGGCGCTGTCATCAAAAGAAAGTTCAGAACAGAAAGAATTTGAAGATGTGGTCAGACCAGAATTTACAGATGAAGAGAAGCAGCGCATTGAAGACCAGCAGCTCAAGCAGAAGGCTATTACAGAAAAAGATCTGGTAAGTCACAGGTCCTGGTGGAACAGGAGTTAACGAGCAAAGTGTTGTGTTGTGCTATTAGCTATGCAGGTGTGTAAATTAAACCTGATACTGTTTTGAACATAAATACATGTCCATGATATAACCTTAATTGTTTCCCATTTTGGACTCTATCGGGAGGGGGACAGTGAGTTCTGTTTGGACTCGTCTGTAGGAATAATTATACAAGGTAGCTTTTACAGCCCAAATTGTGTTTGATAAGTTTCAAATATGTGGTAAGATAAGTAGAACTGTATTTTACAAAGATCCCATTTCTCCAGTATTATGTGCATCTTGACCCCTGCTCATCCAAGTAGAGTTGTGGACTATTTCTTGTGTTTTCAAACCTCTGATTACATGGTAAAAAACAGTTATAAAAAGGACTTCAGGGAGTGCAGGCAACAATTGACAATAAAAATGATATCTGGAAACATGATAACATACCTTGACTCACAGTTGGCTTATTGATTTCTCCCTCTCACCATGTTGCAATTAAGAAATAACATTATCAACTAAAACGTGATTTTCTGTTTTCTGGCCTAGCTATTTAACTTCTGACTTTTTAATCAATATTCAAGTTTCCTATACTGGTTGCAAGAGGTGATTAGTAGGAAAAGAATGATAGCGTACATTAAGTTGGTAAAAGAATCAGAAGTTTGAAGAGGCCACAGAAAAGAAGTTTCAGTCTAGTGCAGTGCTTCATTGGTAGCAGAATTGACTCACTGTGGGCCTGTTCCTGGCAATATGGATCCATCAGGTCTGAACTGTGTCCTTTGCTTTTTTGCCAAGGATAGTCGTGGTGGTGAAGATGATACATGGCTTTATATTAGTACTGAGGAGCAAAAGATATTTTTAGTCTTGGAAACAGACATAAAAAGTAATGTAGTCTTGTGGTATGCAGCACTAATTAGAAGTAATATTTGAGAAGAATAGTTTCATGGATGTAGCGGGATAAAGATGGATTTGTGCAGTGCAGAAAGTCTTGAAAGGGGAATTGCAAAGGTTCAGCTTTGTTCATCTTGCGTTTTAATTTAGGAGGTACAGCGTGGCTTATCCTGCACATCCAAAGTAAAGATAAATCACAAGTTATAGACTTATAAGTCTACACTTAAACTATGTGTGTAGCAATTTTTTATTTTTGTCCTTGAAGTACTAGAAAATATGAAGACATTTTTTTGTGGTCTGCCTCCAAGCTTAGATATGAAGAAATATGCTGTATCTGCTCTGATGTGGGTGTTCTTTGTGATCCGTCTTCTCGATATTGTGACCCTGTCTACTAAAAAGGGTGGGAAAAGCTCATTGCACTAGATGTTAACGCTGTCTTTCTAACCTAAATATTACAGGGTAATGGTTATTTCAAAGAAGGCAAGTATGAGGCTGCGATAGACTGTTATACCCGTGGTATAGCAGCAGATGGCACCAATGCGCTTCTGCCGGCTAACAGAGCCATGGCCTACCTGAAGATTGAAAAGTAAGTAGGATGGCATGTGCTATACCCTTTCTTTCTTTGTTGTGAACTAGTTGGAAGAATGATCCAATAGATTTTCACTCAAGTTACTGTCATTCCTTCTAATTCTTTTTAGAATTCAGTATAGAATAAATTGAACTGAAAACAGTAACGGGGAGAGAACAACTTTGTGTGTGATCTTACAATGCATTTCATAGGAAAGAAGTTCTGAGAGAATAAAATAGCATTGCTATGAAATTATAGTTTCTAAAGTTTTATTTTTTCATTATTTTATGTGTGTAAGATTCTAGATATTCACCTTTCTTGAAGGACCTGCCCAAAGCTCTGTGAAAAGACTAAAAGCTGGTTAGCTACTAAATGTTGCACTGTAAAAAGAAGTGGATTATAATTTCTGACTTCAAACAGAATGGATACAAGATTTTTTGGAAATCGTAATATTTTTAAATGTTTTCTTTAACTTCACTAATGGAGACGTGTATGTAATTAGTTTATTTTTAATTAAGCAGCAGGAAATATATGCTTTCTGGCAAATGAGAGAGATTCCATATGACCATTTTTGAAGTCTGAGTTTTTTTTTTACTCCCTGGTGATGTGGTAGTTTAAACCTTTTAAACTGGTAGCATGAGAAGCAGAGCTGAGCGTTATGTTGGTCATCTGTTCTGACATGGTGTGGCTGGGTATCTGTAGAGACAATACATTGATTTCAAATTATAAAATAGTTTGCAAAGGTAGTATTTCTGACACCACACTTGTAACTTAGTACTGAAACCATTGAGGACTTCATAATGCAAATCATGTTCTCATAGAATCAGAGGAAGTGATACTTTAATTGAATGACCAAGCAAGAAAATCAATTCTGTATGATAAATCAATGTATCATGGGTCTTTACATTTCAAAGAGGACCCAAACATAAAATGTAGCAGAGGCTCACTGATATTCTTATAAACCTCTGGAACTGGTAAGAACTGAAAAAAACCCACCTGTTTCCATAAATTTAATGACAGCTTTAAGGAAGAGAAAAGGAATGGATGAAAATACTTTAGTATGCCCATAGTAGAATCATGATCTAATATAATTAAATATAACTGTGAGAATGAAATTTAATCTCACAATGAAGTAAACTACTTTAATGCAAGGGTATACTGACTTCTCATTCTGAAACAGTTAAGGACAAGTCACAGAAATTCAGATGTAGAGAAATTTATTTTCATAGATGCTTGCTTCTCCTTTTTTTTTTTAATGGTATTTCTGGTTTTCAGC